ATAACGACTCGAAACGGATTGTTAGGCGATTACTCAACATCGATGATCTTTAGAAATTACCTGTTGGAGATGGAGGAGATGATGTTGGTATCACTGGAGTCGTTGACGGACTCTGAAAATGAATAATGTACTGAACGCTTAATGAAAATTGAGCAGTCGATGAAAAAAATTGAGCGTTTAAAAGATGCTGGCAGCGATGATGAGTAATTATTGAAAGTCACGTTTCTTTCAGTTATTATCTGAACTTTCGATGTGCATTTAAGCGTGGTTGCAACACTGATACTGCGTTCTTAATGATTGAGACATTCTATTCCATCACCTCAATGAAGAGGAACAATGCGTTGAATGAAGTATGCTCACCTCGGGAACCCAAACAGAGCAATGATCTCGTGGTGCATAGGATGATCCAAGTGGGCAATTGAATGCGGTTCGGAAAGCGGGGAAATTTTGTACGGTACCAAAAACACGGTATTTGGCTGGGCTGTGCGGATCTGTCATGATTTGAGTGTATTGGGCGTTAAGCGGTCTTGGTTTTTCACACCAGACTTGTGCGAAGGCCATGAAGAAGAGCTGATCTTGGGTGAATGCCTTGAAGACAGGATCAGGGAGTTGAGGGTCGGGTCCATACTGTGAAACGTAATCTTGATAGGCACGCCACGCTGCATGTATTCCTGAAGTAGTGCACTCATTTCGATTCAACTTCGAGATCAGAATTATTCCCAAAAAATTTACTGAGTCAAAAATTATAACGAAAGAAAATAATGAATGCCAAAAGTGTGAAATGAACTCTTTCAAAATTCAGAACTGCGTGCTGGGCGCAAACAGTTAGGACTAGCATAATTCTAGCAAAATCATTATTATGCTAGTCGTAACTGTCAGCTTATAAGAAACTGATCATATAGCATTATGATCAAAGTTCAGGGTTGATAAAAGATGTTCACCTCCGTTATCAGCGATATTTTCACCCTGCGTTTGTTCACCATTAACACAGTCGGGTACTTTACCAGTTCCGCGCAAGGGACAGAACCCGTTGTATTCATTAACCACACACTGCGCCATCTTGTTGAAACCAGCCATTGATTGTGGTGTCATCCAGTCTACTAATTTCCCGACACCATTCCACTGAACACCCTCATCGTCGAAACCATGCGTCAGCTCATGACCTGCTACAACACCAAGACCACCGAAGTTCATTGATGCTGGCCAGTGCTCGTCGAAGAACGGTTGATGAAGGATGCCAGCCGGGAACGTTATTGAGTTATATTCTGGCTGAAAGCATTATTTATGGTGCAGAAATTCTTAATTTGGAATTGCTTGAGGGAAGTAAGGTATCGACTCAATAAAAAAGACACATCATTTCTGTCGATGAGCACGAACTGAAATGCTTCAGAATAAATATCGCCGCAACATACGTAGTACCATGCGTTGACAGTTCCTGGTGGTCCACCGAAGTCGTGTCGATCCACAGTCGCATCGCTTACGAGATTTTCATAGAGCAATAAGAAATTGAAATCATCCGCTTTTTTGATCATGTCAAAATACGTATCACCATTATTAAACACCAATTTCTCGTAATAAGCATCAAGTTGAGTTTTATTCATGATAAAGTCCGGGAATGCGATGTTCTTCACTAAATCAGAGATTTTCTCGTACGCACCGTCTTTCGATTTATCATCCATCCAATTCAACCTATTCAGCATGTCTCGCATCGACAGCAAAATATTCTCAATCATCCATCCAGCCTGTCTGCAATTGAAAGCTTCGTAAATACTGCCTCGCTCATAAGAGATTCAGTTTATCCCTCGATATATTCATCATGAACATCGTGAAATGATGATCGAAGTTTTACTATCCATTTTCGGAAGTTTTGATGTTTGTTGAAGCATTATGATCAGTCAATCGCAGGAATGAAATTCGGAATTTTGAATTGTGTTTACAACGCCGTCTTTCTCAGAAAGTACGTTATAACATAACCGAAAACATCATTTTTAGATGTTTCAAATTGACTAGGGCAGTGTTGTTTTCAATATGAGTACTTTTATGGTAGATCTGAAAGAGTCGAATTGAAAATGAGTACAAGATGCAACTCACGATCGAATGCGTGCAACTGCACGATCATTCGGATAAGAATAGTCCACAAATATTCTTGCATTCGCATACTGCATCAAGTTCAACGTTTCGTACGCACACTCCACGCTCGGGTCGTCGTACAATGCTTTTGTTACGGCCTTCTTGAATGTGGTGCCTCTTCGCTGTCTTCCAAGTATTGTTTGGTCCGATACTATCGGTTTAGCCACATAGCCGGTTGGTCTTGGCAGGTATTCGCTATTTTCAGCTAGTATTCTATAGAAGAAGTAGTTGGCAACCATATTTGAGTCGAAATTTTTGAAGTCATTACTTAATTTAAGAACCATTTTCGGTTCCATCACCAGGAAAAGACGATCCGGCACTTTAAAGTAGGCATCAAGTTCCTGGTAAGTGCTTGAAAGGTATTCGAAATAAGTCGCGAAATCGATGAATCCAAACGTTTCGGTAGCATTTTGAACGGTGTACGGATTATAAGAACGTTCGTATTGCCGGCGGGTTGTGTCGTCTGTACTGTATTTCTGAGCGAGAACTCTTTCGAAATCCAACAACGCATCCACATCGCTACTCAGCTTGTTCTGATCAAGAGACACCTACAAAGCGCTATTTCGAAGTAGCAGACCTCATATACATTAGATCGCTATTCCGGTTGCTAATTAGCCGCAAAAATTTCGGATTTCTAACGATTAAAAAAACGCAGTTCGCTAAACCTTTTTAAGAGCAGCGTAATGATTGAAAAGATCGATCGTGTTCTGCTTGTAAGATGTATGGGTTGAAGGCCATGCGACGGGCGTGTAATACGTCTTGGCATAGTAGAGAACGTTCTGATCCGAGAAGAAACTGTAATGCTGAGGATGTGTCCAGTTGGTGTCAACCAGTGTGCTGATCAATGTGTCAATGCCTTGTGAACTCAGGTAACCAACGGCCTTCGCTAATGTTCTACTGTCCAAACTCTGAGCTGTTTGTGACGATTGACTGTCGACCATTGAGAATTTCAGTCCAGTTCTGACAGCAAATGCGTTGAGTGCATTTGTTACCACTGAACCATCGCTGATGTAATGATCAAAATCTGCTCTAACTGTTTTGCATTTTTTATAGAATTGAATTATCTTCTTCAGTGCGGTCGGTGTCTGAAATTAAGCTATTGCAAAGATTCGTTGTGTTTGAAATGAATTATATCAAAGAGCTGAACCAGTTTTCGATGCGCATTCGAAAAGCGACATTTGGAATTCGATGTTTCTTAATAATCTAATGAGCATCCTACTTCTTAGAATGTGCTAACATTACATCAAGATGTAATGGTTTCTGAATGATTCGCATCGAATGCTAACACCTTAAGCGGATTATAATAATAATAATCTAATCACCTGTGGCTGTTCATAGATCGGTAATTCCATTTGTTGACTCATTGCATGGTAGTTGAATAATCGACCCTTTCGAAAACTCAGCAGTTCATCGTAGTTGCCACAAACGTATTCATAGAAATTATCGCATGGATTTGCAGTTAAATTCATCGACGCTTTGAACAATGAAACGGATTCAGAGAATGCCTTATGCTCTGTCATTTGTGCTGGTGAAACTTCTGGTGCTGATGCAATATTCAGCTCGTTTCTTTGACTCGGTTGGGTCGGCATGCCGTAAGCTATAATTAATTATTGCTCGTGATCGCTCAGGTACAAGTTCATGCTTTATCAGTGAGGACATTCATACTGTTGCAAGTTCAGTTGTTACTGTCAATGTGTTCTAGGTTTCAAAAATACTCTCAGTGAAATATATTGCAAAAGATGAGACAGAAAATATCATGTTCACTAAGATTCATTGATGACTGAATGCACTGACATCCTTCAACAGGTGTCACCCAAACATCACAATGGTTTTCAGGTGAATATGCCGAATCGACGGGGCATTTGAAGGCGGCTCGAAAGGCTGGGAAGTTTTGGATGGTGCCGAAGACTCGATACAATGATGGACTGTGCGGATCAGTGAGGATCTGTTGCAAAATGTCTTCGTCAGTCGGCGGTGTTTCGCACCAAACTTGCGCAAATCCCATGAAGAATAACTGATCTGGAGTGAACTGTCGCATGATCGCGTCATCGAATGACGGGTCAGGTCCGTTCATATTTTGATGCACCTTGAAGGCACGATATGCCGCATGTATCCCTTGAATGATAATCACTCTTCAAGACACATATTGCTTAATTAGACTGGATTGCACTCGATAAACGAAGCGGTCTTCTTTTTCAGTGATATGACAAAATCAAAGTGATAACTGTCTGATAACGATCGATATTTGCAGGGTAATATGACTAGGTGAACAAATGAAGCATGATTTAGCTGATTTTTAGTACATTGTAATCGAGATCGTAACGTTCTCGTTTTGCCATATGCATGTAATGAGCGGTGATTGCTTCATCATGGACATGTTGATTTTTCATCATAGAGATAAGTGTGCTAATCAAGCTTGAATGAGCAAAAGCGTCGAGACAATCGGATTTTGGGTCTTTTCAAAACAATTCACCTCCATTATCTGCGATATTTTCGCCTTGTGTGTTCGATCCGTCCAAACAACGTGGTTTATATGAGTTCGGAAGAGGGCAGAAGTGTCCGTATTCACTGATCACACATTGTGCCATTCTCTGAATGGAAACATGATGACTGCTGAATGTACACTGCTGACAAATGGAAGTGCATTCAAATAGGAACTTGTAAGAACAAATAGGAAGTTCTAAGAACTTTTCTGATTGGACTGCTAATTAGGACTAAATCTGGCATATTGCACAGTTTTTTGATGCTTTGCTTTAGTTGATTATCAAAGCAAAACAGTGGCATTGATGACGATGATAAGGCAACCTCGAACGAAGTGTACGATTTTTCATCCATCCATTGATAGAGTACGCCAGTGCCATCCCACTGTACACCTTCATCATCAAATCCATGAGTTAACTCGTGTCCCACAACCACTCCCATTGATCCGTAATTCAGTGAAGCGGGCCAGTTGGGATCGTAGAAGGGCTGTTGTAAGATACCAGCTGGGAATGTAATCGAATTCATCTCGGGCTGAATAACAATCACTTTGATGTATTTATTACTGTGATCATTTAAATTATCAGAACACAATGGCTACTCAGTGTCATCATTCAGAAGGAATAAACGGTGCTTAGAGACCACGATTGCTCCAGTGGATATTGTTATTATTCATTGATTATGGCCGGTTTGTGAAACGAGATGAACGTATAGTCTTACAGACAGCAGCGAATATTACCTGGTACCAGGCGTTCACAGTTCCTGGCTCTCCATTGAAATCGTTACGCTTAGTTTGACCGGCTGTGAGTTTAGCATATGAAGTGTAAACATTGAATTTATATAACTTCTCTTGCATGGTCGTATAAGATTCTCCGGCTTGAATGTCCAGTTCTGCGTAATATTTCGTCAACAAACTATCGTTGTTGATAAAATCAGGGAATGCAATATTTTTGGTGAGATCGTCGATTTTATTGTATGCACCCCGCTTCGACTTGAAACTCATCCAAGACAACTGATCAATCATACTTCGAAATCCTATCAGTACGCTCTCCATGAAAGCTGCGAACTTCTGACGGAACTGCTCCTGCAAGTGTACTCTTTTAATAGAAACACGGCATACGATAGTTTTATAAGGCAGTGCAAGGGAAGAATTAAGCACGGAACGAATGATAAATTAATGATTGCAATAACATACGCGTTTATTCGGGGATGGAAATATGGCGTCGATATACATACGTGCATTTGCGTATTGCATGGCGCTGATCGATCTAGATGCACAGCGCAAGTCATTCCTAGTCAATAGCTTCAGGTCTGGTCGAGGCATGACGATACTTCTCGGTCGTCGTTTCTTTGCACTCACATCAAATTCAAGAATTGATTTATATTGCTCGGCTTGAGACATATGTGGCATATAACTTTGGAATGTATCAACAATGCGGTAGTTCAAGTAATTGACGATCGTTCGAGGTTTAAACTTGCCAGTTGATAGATACTCGCCTAGCTTAGTTAGCATTCTTGGTTCCATAATGAGAAACTCGAAATCTGGCTTGCTCATCTTCATTTGCACGTCAGCGGGTGCATTGATGGCTATTTGGTTCAGATATAAAGGCCAATCGATGAAGGGATACATTTGTGATGCCTTCTCGGTTGAATAAAGGTTGTAGGAACGTGCATAATTACGGCGAGTTGCATCATCTGTACTTAGATTCCATGCGATATCCAATTCGAGCGCTATCATGCTATCCACATCCGCTTCCAGTTTTGCTTCATTCAATCCCTGCTGCAGATATTTCATCCAAAAGAGCATTCTTTTACGGTACCATTCCTTGTATAGGTCCCATGCTTTTATATAATACGATAACGGCAAACTTAATGAACTTTGATCAATGTATAACGCATAGCCTTGAGTACTGTGCGGATCCTTCCAGTTCGTGTCAATGAATGATGATATCAGAGTACTCGTTCCAAGAGCACCGTCCAAGTAGCCGATTGCCTTCGACAGGACGGTGGCGTTTGGCATCGGTGGATCGGGTAGATGTTGACTGAGAAGTGGAAATGGCAGGTTGGTTGCATCTTTGAATTGTGACAGCTTGGATTTGACATAATTACCGCTATCAATGACAGCATCCCAGTCGCTGAGTGCATTCATACATGTGTCGTAGAATTCAAAAAGTTGTTTGACTGGCTTTGGCACCTAGAACATTCATCACTCAATACCACGATTTGGTTAGTTTTAGTTTGTGTGAAAAGATGAAAATGATTACGTTCGAGTTTCTATATCCAGGATCGGTGATTTTCTCAGCCATTATGTAAAGACTGTTGTTGTAGGCTTTCGAGAAACTGGATAGCTGCGTCATCGCACCGCATGTGAATTGATAGAAATCTTTGCATGGATCTACCGTGAAGTTACCCATTTCACGAAGTAGCGATGCTGCTTGAGCGAATTGATTGAAACGTGGATCGTTTGGACTGATCGGAGGATTCGTAGGCCACACAATACCACCTGGTTTTGTGGTTGTTG